GAGAAAGTCAAAGTGCTATCGTCTGAAAATACTCCAATACAAGTAAAAGCACTGAAATCTAAATGTGCAAAAAGTGCAGAGGTATTGTAATCTCAATGTACTCAAAGTAAAGAAAAAGAGACATCAGATGGTTTGAAGTGTTAGAGGGAGTTGTGTGTAAGGGCTGTCAGGGAATCATTCGCCCTGCATGTCCTCGCAGATGCCCTAACCCTTGAGCAGCCGTTATCTCCCTTAAGGAGGGGCTGCCCTAGCAAGTTGTTGTTGTTACCAGTTTGTGACCGGGCAACTCTCGGTCAGAGATAGTTATTGTTGTGGGACACCTGGAACACATCCTTCTCGGGGTGTAGATGACCCCGAGCCGTAAGCGACAACAAATGTGATTCAGTGCCCTCAGCTGTTTAGTCTCTCTATTGAAGAATGTTGATTATTACACTCTGAACTAGTTCAAACCTGGAGCTACAGGAGGGCTCTGCAGAATTAATTGTGGCATCTCAACCGTGTGGTCAGACCGCGGCTCGTGACATGTCTTGTGAATTCTCCGGCCGAAGCTCCAAATAAACCGTCAGTGTTTGCCATCAGAGTTCCAGCTCTCCTCGTGTCTCTCTGAGTCCTGACTCCATCAAAGCTCCAGCTCTCCTCGTGTCTCTCTGAGTCCTGACTCCATCAAAGCTCCAGCTCTCCTCGTGTCTCTCTGAGTCCTGACTCCATCAAAGCTCCAGCTCTCCTCGTGTCTCTCTGAGTCCTGACTCCATCAAAGCTCCAGCTCTCCTCGTGTCTCTCTGAGTCCTGACTTCATCAAAGCTCCAGCTCTCCTCGTGTCTCTCTGAGTCCTGACTCCATCAAAGCTCCAGCTCTTGTCTCTCTGAGTCCTGACTCCATCAAAGCTCTAGCTCTCCTCGTGTCTCTCTGAGTCCTGACTCCATCAAAGCTCCAGCTCTCCTTGTGTCTCTCTGAGTCCTGACTCCATCAAAGCTCCAGCTCTCCTCGTGTCTCTCTGAGTCCTGACTCCATCAGAGCTCCAGCTCTCCTCGTGTCTCTCTGAGTCCTGACTCCATCAAAGCTCCAGCTCTCCTCGTGGCTCTCTGAGTCCTGACTCCATCAAAGCTCCAGCTCTCCTCGTGTTTCTCTGAGTCCTGACTCCATCAAAGCTCCAGCTCTCCTCGTGTCTCTCTGAGTCCTGACTCCATCAAAGCTCCAGCTCTCCATCGTGTCTCTCTGAGTCCTGACTCCATCAAAGCTCCTGCTCTCCTCGTGTCTCTCTTTGAGTCCTGACTCCATCAAAGCTCCAGCTCTCCTCGTGTCTCTCTGAGTCCTGACTCCATCAAAGCTCCAGCTCTCCTCGTGTCTCTCTGAGTCCTGACTCCATCAAAGCTCCAGCTCTCCTCGTGTCTCTCTCTGAGTCCTGACTCCATCAAAGCTCCAGCTCTCCTCGTGTCTCTCTGAGTCCTGACTCCATCAAAGCTCCAGCTCTCCTCGTGTGTCTCTGAGTCCTGACTCTCCATCAAAGCTCCAGCTCTCCATCGTGTCTCTCTGAGTCCTGACTCCATCAAAGCTCCTGCTCTCCTCGTGTCTCTCTTTGAGTCCTGACTCCATCAAAGCTCCAGCTCTCCTCGTGTCTCTCTGAGTCCTGACTCCATCAAAGCTCCAGCTCTCCTCGTGTCTCTCTGAGTCCTGACTCCATCAAAGCTCCAGCTCTCCTCGTGTCTCTCTGAGTCCTGACTCCATCAAAGCTCCAGCTCTCCTCGTGTCTCTCTGAGTCCTGACTCCATCAAAGCTCCAGCTCTCCTCGTGTCTCTCTGAGTCCTGACTCCATCAAAGCTCCAGCTCTCCTCGTGTCTCTCTGAGTCCTGACTCCATCAAAGCTCCAGCTCTCCTCGTGTCTCTCTGAGTCCTGACTCCATCAAAGCTCCAGCTCTCCTTGTGTCTCTCTGAGTCCTGACTCCATCAAAGCTCCAGCTCTCATCGTGTCTCTCTGAGTCCTGACTCCATCAAAGCTCCAGCTCTCCTCGTGTCTCTCTGAGTCCTGACTCCATCAAAGCTCCAGCTCGTGTCTCTCTGAGTCCTGACTCCATCAAAGCTCCAGCTCTCCTCGTGTCTCTCTGAGTCCTGACTCCATCAAAGCTCCAGCTCTCCATCGTGTCTCTCTGAGTCCTGACTCCATCAAAGCTCCAGCTCTCCTCTTGTCTCTCTGAGTCCTGACTCCATCAAAGCTCCAGCTCTCCATCGTGTCTCTCTGAGTCCTGACTCCATCAAAGCTCCAGCTCTCCTCGTGTCTCTCTGAGTCCTGACTCCATCAAAGCTCCAGCTCTCCTCATGTCTCTGAGTCCTGACTCCATCAAAGCTCCAGCTCTCCATCGTGTCTCTCTGAGTCCTGACTCCATCAAAGCTCCAGCTCTCCTCGTGTCTCTCTGAGTCCTGACTCCATCAAAGCTCCAGCTCTCCTCGTGTCTCTCTGAGTCCTGACTCCATCAAAGCTCCAGCTCTCCTCGTGTCTCTCTGA